TCTGATCTAGAGCCTGTCTGTCTGACCTACAGCATGTCTGTCTGATCTAGAGCCTGTCTGTCTGATCTAAAGCATTTCTGTCTGATCCTAGAGCATGTCTGTCTGATCCTAGAGCAACGTGTGTCTGATCCTAGAGCGTGTCTGTCTGGTCTACAGCATGTCTGTCTGATTTAGAGCATGTCTGTCTGATCCTAGAGCGTGTCTGTCTGGTCTACAGCGTGTCTGTCTGATCTACAGCATGTCTGTCTGATCTACAGCGTGTCTTTCTGATCTAGAGCATGTCTGTCTGACCTACAGCGTGTCTGTCTGATCTAGAGCATGTCTGTCTGATCTACAGCATTTCTGTCTGATCCTAAAGCGTGTCTGTCTGATCTACAGCATGTCTGTCTGATCCTCAGCGTGTCTTTCTGATCTAGAGCATGTCTGTCTGACCTACATACAGCATGTATTCCAGAGCATGTCTGTCTGCCTGTCTATCTGATCTAGAGCCTGTCTGTCTGACCTACAACCTACAGCACTGATCTAGAGCCTGTCTGTCTGATCTAAAGCATTTCTATCTGATCCTAGAGCATGTCTGTCTGATCCTAGAGTGTGTCTGTCTGATCTAGAGCGTGTCTGTCTGATCTACAGCATGTATGTCTGATTCCAGAGCATGTCTGTCTGCCTGTCTATCTGATCTAGAGCCTGTCTGTCTGACCTACAGCATGTCTGTCTGATCTAGAGCCTGTCTGTCTGATCTAAAGCATTTCTATCTGATCCTAGAGCATGTCTGTCTGATCCTAGAGTGTGTCTGTCTGATCTACAGCGTGTCTGTCTGATCTACAGCATGTCTGTCTGATCTAGAGCATGTCTGTCTGATCTACAGCGTGTCTGTCTGATCTAGAGCATGTCTGTCTGATCTACAGCATTTCTGTCTGATCCTAAAGTGTGTCTGTCTGATCTACAGCATGTCTGTCTGATCCTAGAGCATGTCTGTCTGATCCCTAGAGCATGTCTGTCTGATCTTAGCGCGTGTCTGTCTGATCTACAGCATGTCTGTCTGATCCTAGAGCAACGTCTGTCTGATCCTAGAGCATGTCTGTCTGATCT